GCTGTGCAGCGTCTGCGTCTTCGTCGTCACCTGGTGGTACATGGACGCCGGGATGCTGAGCCCGCAGGGGCTTTTCGGGACGGCCCTGGTCTCCTCCCTGCTCGGCTACGTCCTCTTCGATGCCGTGGACAGCGGGGCCGGGCGGCGGGAGAGCGGGCGGACGCGTTGGGCCGACCTGAAGAGCACGTTGGTGTTCGCCGCCTTCACCTACGGTTTCTCACCGGTCCTGAAGACCCTGACAGAGTCCATCAGCACGGACACCATCTACGCCATGTCGGCCCTCATGCTCCTCGGCCACCTCATCTTCTTTGACTACGGCGCCAACGCCGCCATCGTCTCCAGCACGCTGTCCCTCAACATGGCCATCTTTGCCTCAGTGTGCCTGGCCTCCCGCCTGCCTCGCTCCCTCCACGCCTTCGTTATGGTCACCTTCGCCATGCAGATCTTTGCCCTCTGGCCCATGCTGCAGAAGAAACTGAAAGCCCAGACACCCCGATGCTATGTCGGGGTGACGGTGCTCTTTGCGCTGGTGGCGCTGGCAGGGCTGGCCACCATCTCCAGCGTGGGCGCCGTGCTCTTCGCCTCACTGCTGCTTGCCATCTCCTGCCTCTGCCCTTACTGCCTCATCCGCCTTCAGCTGCTCAAGGACAACATCCACGGGCCATGGGATGAGGCTGAAATCAAGGAGGACCTCTCCAGGTTCCTCATGTAGGCTTGGCCTGGGGGGGGCCTCTGCTGTGAGCAGCACAAAGGCCCTTGCCAGGGGACAGCCCTGGGGGAACGTGACCAGCCCAATAAAGCCCCTCGCACAGCAGCAAGGACCACATCTGTGTGCGTTACCCTCAGCATCTGTTTCCAGACCTGACCTGCTTGGTTAGGCGAAGGGAGGAGCTGAACCCCGCAGACCGGCCGGCCCGTGCAGCAGCTCGGGGTGCAGGCAAGCAGAGCGGTGTGTGCTCCAGCCACGCAGACCCATATCTGCGTTTGAGGGCGATGCAGGGGGGTTGGGGGGGTGGTGGTGCATCCCCTGGGCAGAAATGCCATGTGGAAATGCACATCTGGCTGAGAAGTGCCCCACAGTGTGCCCCACAGCATGCCCATGGAGGTCCCCAGCCCCAGGGACCTCAGTGTGCAACAGGGACTGACGGGAAGGCTGGGGGGGGAAGGGGGCTGGGTGAGGGTCGCTGTGGGCAGGGCAGCAGCGCATGGGGCGGTGGGTACTGCTGGACCCACAGGACTGAGCACGAGGGTGCCTGGGATGGGTGCGGTGCAGAGCCCGGTTCACATGCACCCCACTGGTTGCTGATGCCGGAATAGCCTCACGATGCTGCCAGGCACCATGTTACTCTAAATCCTTTAGGAGAAGGAGGGTGTGAGGGGGCAAGACGCCTTCCTCCCCTCTCTAACACCCTCCCAGAGGTGGATCTGGCCTCGCCACAGGGCCAGACCCCGAGCCAGAGGGATGGAGCTCAGCACAGACCCCTGTGGGTGCAGCCACTGGCTAGGGCGAGATGCCAGGCTGCTGCGACAGCGGTGGGACGCAGTGAGGTCCCGTCTGGCGGCCGTCTGTCCAGCGGCCGTCTGTCCGGCACCGCACACACCGCAACAGAAGGCACTCCCAGCAAACAAGACCCGCAGGAGGCCAGGCCAGGACCAGCTGGCCCTGTTCTGGGAGGGCTTCCCCGGTGCTTTCCCTTTCCCTGCTCCCATCTTAGGACTGTCCCTCAGCAGTCCAGCCCTGCTCTGGCCACCCCGGGGAGCAGAGCCCACGCTGTGGGAGGGAAGCGATGCACACACCTGCTCCAGCCCCACCTCGCAGGGATGCATTTGGCATTACTTGGGTTGTTATGAAACTTTCTCATTTGGAAAGCCAATGCTGCAGAAGCGCAACTTTCTGCTTGATTTACCCCATCCTGTTGAGCACCAGCATCTCACCCCAGCAAGCGGGCGCTTGCCGTGCGCTCCTTGGGCTTTCTCGGAAATGAGCAACCCCCGGCGGAGTCCCCAACACCTCCAGTGCTTTGTTATGGCTCTCGCCAAGTGTTAAATGTTGCTGTTGTTGTCATGGTGATGACTACATCTCGTTTTGGTTTTAATTAGAGGAAACCTGTGGAAGTTTAGAGCCCGTGCTCCAGTCTCACAGGGAGCACAGAGTAGCCAGATGCTCACAGTCAAGATGACGGTTTTTTCTTCTTCAGAAAGAAGACTGTTTTTTACAAGGAGGTTTCCCAGAAAGCTGCTCAGCAAGCGGGGTGGCCCGTCTTGCACCGGGCTAACGCCATTGTAACGCTGCCATCCAAAGCCGATTCACAGAGTCCATCGGTAGGGCAAGGCTTGAGTATAAATCAAAAGTAAATCAAATGTAGCCTGCCTGGTGCCTGTTGTTAATGTGTGTCATGGTAGAGGCTACAAGAAAGCACAGTTTCTGCTGCACCCATTCCCCCAAGGAGAAGTATTTAAACAAAACCATACTCTTCCCAAATTCAGACTCTCAAAACCAGCTCTGGGTTAGGAAAAGTGCAAATGTCAACTACCCAGCCATCATGCCAGGTGGGAATGGGCACAGACTGCCACATTCACCTCAGCCACACCTGGAACCCAGTGGATCACCTAGGCAGATCCCTGGCCTTCAATGGATTCAGCAGGCCCCGTCCGCCCAGCTCCAGGCAGGATGCGTCTGGTCCAGCCTGGCCCAGGCAGTTTCATCCCTGCCCACAGCCCCAGGCCTCTCCGCTCTGCCCAGCTCCTTCCCTTCATCTCCTCCTTAGCCTCAGTCCTTGCCCAGAGATCCCATGGGGAAAGGCTTAGCCCTCCCCTTAGCTTCCCTGCACGGCTACCCTGCCCTTCCTAACCTGGAAGTCCAAAAATATAAAGACCAGTCCATGGCCTGGAAACACAAAGGGACTCTGAAGGAGCGAAGAGCGCAAGGGAGAGCCAGGGAGAGGAGAGAGAGATACAAAGGCCAGGTGGAGTTTCCCTGGGACTTGTCTGACCTTCCGCTGAGGACAGATGCTCTGCAATGCTGCTGAGCAGTAAAGTTATTTAAGATGCCGAATAAATGGCCTCTTGAGGTCAGAATATGCTCTATAGAACAAAAACTTGCCATAACTCTACGCCCGGCTCAGCAGTAAAGCTGGATGGATGCCCTTCGAGCATTCGCTACCTGAGAGTTCCAGTCTGTGTCTTCTCTGATGAAGCACATGATGAGACCAAAGAAATAGGTCCTCAGTTTGCATGCAACTGAATCATCAACAACCAACTCTGAAGAGTTAAATGCTATTTTGCATTACAAGGAAGTGCTGTTTCTTCCTCTTAAGTTTCCAAGTCCACTGAGATCAAGTACTTCACTGGGACATTTTCTTTAGATTTGAAGCTGGCCAAATGTGAGTAATTGTAAACTGGCCGGGGATAAGCCTTGCTCCTGGGGGAGCTGCTGACACGTGCCGTCTGGAATCTCCATCTACAGCCTCTGCTGCAGGCAAAGGCAAGCGTCAGCCGCCCGCACTGTGCTGTCAGGAGCACGTGTCCCTCCCCACGTGGGAGGCTGGGTCTGGGAAGCCTGGAAAAAAAAAAAAGAGTGAAGCTTTAGTCTTTGAAGGCAAGATCTTTATACCTCTTCAATTCCCACAGTAATCACTAAGCTTTTCTCAGCTTTGTGACATGAGAGGCAACAGCAACAACGTGAATGATCAGGAAACCAAAATAGGATTTTGGTTCTACCCCACCCATTGAAAAGCAGCCTAGGACACATAATGCCACCAGCTGGTGCAGCACCCTTAGCACCTCCACCTAGCCACAGGACGTGGACCATTGCAAGGTGGAAATAGCACAGACAAGGTTAAATGGCTTCTTCAAAAAGTCATCCTGTGAGTTCATGCTAAAGAACGTGCCAAGGTTTCCCAGCACACAAATACCCATGTCTTTTTCTATTTGGGAGATTTTAGGAATAGCTACCAGAAAACCATGAAATTCAGAGTGCTATTTCCAACAATATTATCAAATACTTCAGAAGAAGGTAAAGATCTCTGTCAAAGGTTTAAGACCATAAAACCACCCAAGAAAGAAGTTGGTGCTCTTACAGCCTGATGCATGGAGGTTGGCTGGCAGCTAGGAGGACAGCAGCAGCTCCTGGTGCTGTAGGTAAGGTCATACAAGTAAAATATCAGCCACCCTGTATTTGTTGTTGGTTCATCTCTTGATACCATGCTGTAACGCGGAGGGAACACAGTGAGAGCTTCCCCTGGTACAGAAGAGATTTTTGAACAACCTGGAAAAAAAGCAGCTTGTGAAATTCATTCTGTTGCCATTCCCTCTTACCTGAGAGGTGAAGCACAGCCAGAACCTTCTTAAGAGCCCGCTGGGTACAAACACCATCGATTCTGTAGCAGTCCTGAAAATACACAATTCCCGAACTCTGCTGAGGTTTTTTTGCCTCAGTACCTGGCAGTGGCAAGTTCCACAGATGGAAGATACGGCCATTCTGGGCTCTCCTCCGCATCCCCTACTTCTGAGACAGTTGTGTTCATGGGACTGTTAGGAGCCTCCACTCCTCCCTTTTCCCAGGGTGCTGGGAAGCACCTTGCCCATCACTCCACACTTTCCAGCTCCAGCAATTCCTAGTTTAGTACATGCAGTTCAAAGGTCTAGCAGAAAAAAGAATTGCTGTACTTGTGGGTTTTTTCCCCCTTTTTGTTAATACCATTGCTGTTTTTTCTGTTGTAATCTACCAAAAGACAAAGTCTAAGTGAGAAGAAAGGAAAATCTGTGTAACTCTACAGCTCTCTGGGCTTGCACCCTCTTATAATCTGAGCAGGCTCAGTGTCTGGCACATGCAGGTGGTTGTGCAGCTCCCTGAATATACAAGAGGTCAGCAGGGACCTAAACCAGCTGGAATGGAAGAAATTACCCAAATTCAGCAAAGCTGTGTCAGGCCTGACTTGAAATCGAGCACAGCCTGTGTGTTGTCAGGCCCCTTCTACACACACAGATGTGATACTGATCTCCACCACTCTCCTGTCCCCATCCCCTGAGCAGCACCACTGCAGCTCCCTCTCACCATGAGCTTCCTACTACAAATAAATGACTGGTTTGTGCCCCTTAAACAACAGGCTGGAGTCCCAATGCGGTGCTGTACTTCCCGTTCCTATCTGTGCGGTTCCTTATCTGCAATGGTTTGTGAGACATCCCTTCTTTGTTTTCATACGAGAAAAAAAAAATCAATAGAACCCATCAATTTTCCCTTTTTTAGACTTACTCTTCATATGCTTCTCTGGCACCCAAAACAAGGACATCTTCTAAACATTAAATCCCAGATTTTATCTTTCTCATAGGGACAGACACATTTGGAATCCCAGAGGTTGCTGCCTACAGCTATGGGAGCTCAGATGCTCCAATGAGGTCAGCTCACAAGGAATTCAGAGATTTAGCTTGAAAAAAATGGTCAGAGCAGCTGTGATTTATTTATAATTGTGCAGATTCATCAGTGACTGCTGCAGATCAGATTCATCAGACTGCTGCAATCTTCTCCTTTGACTTTCCACTCTGCGCGCAGTCGGCTGTTGCTGCTGGTACGTTAGACATCTTTTAGGACCCTCTTCCTGCCCATGCTAAGCCAAAGCCATTTATACGGAGCAATTCTGGTGGTTAATGAATTCAGCAGTAGTGGTGGAACCCCAGCAGAATGTCCCTCCCTCCACCACCTTGGAGGGTGGGAGTCTCTACAGAGCCCAGGCAATTGCTTCCATGGGGTGCTAATGGCTCCATTTGAGAAAGAGTGGGTAGACTCTTCAATAGAAAACCAGCACACGTTTTGTAGT